TGAGGGGCTGACATCTGTGTGGGGAGGGGCTGACACTTATGTGGGAGGGGCTGACATCTGTGTGGGAAGGGCTGACACCTGTGTGAGGGGCTGACATCTGTGTGGGGAGGGGCTGACACCTGTGTGGGAGGGGCTGATATCTGTGTGGGAAGGGCTGACACCTGTGTGGGAGGGGCTGACATCTGTGGGGAGGGGCTGACACCTGTGTGGGAGGGGCTGATATCTGTGTGGGAGGGGCTGACACCTGTGTGGGAGGAGCTAGTATCTGTGTGGGAGGGGCTATCTGTGTGGGAGGGGTTGACATCTGTGGGGAGGGGCAGGGGCATCTCCTCTGCAGCTTTGTCTGCACCCCCTTCCCTCAGGATGAATGTGAAGCCTCCATGTTAATGTGTCCGCCGTAGTTGTCATGTTTCTCTAAGTCACCCAGTCTGGCCTCAAACTTAAGGGATCCTCCCACCTGGGCTTCTCAGGTAGCTGGGAGGATCCACATTAATAGAGTCAACACACTTTTTCACAGGAACACCAGTTTGTCAGTCAGTCTACAGAAATGAGTGCAGCATACGAGAGAATCTATCACCTATGTGTGCAGATATAACACATGCAGAAAGTGTGTTCACCATAGCACTTTTGGTAGGAAAAAATCAGTAATCTGAATGTTCCCCAACAGGGACTAACCTTGGCGTACCAGCCATCACACTTTCTAGCAGGCCCCACCTACAGCCATGCAGGATGAACCCACGTGGCCAGACCAGCCTTGCCTCCTACAAGCAGCAGTGGGGCAGCCAGGACCTTTCCTTCTTGGCACTTTGCCACATTTTGTGTACATGGCTTTCTAAATTCGGTATGCACTGCTTTTAGACAAAAGACCTGTTTATTTAAAAGCCATGGCAATCAACCTGAACCCCAGGCCAGATGAAAGTTAGGATCCTCTGTATGTTCAAACAAGCTGGCACCGCCGGGTGGGAACAGAAAACTCTGCAGCTACGCACCGACAGTGTATAAACAGCTGCCCCACGACCACGACCACGACCACGACCACGACCATGGGAGGTTTTCATTTCTTCGGCTTTGCTGACTGGACTGTTAGATTTTGTAACATTCCTAAACCAACTATGAAGCAAAGCGCACGGTGGCCCACGGTGTGTGCCAGGGGTGAGTGTCCCCCTCGGCCAGAGACTGCTCCGTGTCCCAGCAGGCGGGTTTGTGACAAACGTGGAGAAACCGCAGTTCCCAGGCATTTAAGGAACGGATGGAACAAAATAAAGGTTAGAAATGATTCCTTTTTGGACTATAGTCTATAAAAAGATAATTTATTTGGGAAGTAGTCTGCTGGAATTTTAACAGTTCTAAAACTGCTTAAATGTAATTAGAACATTTTTCTTCTATAACAATGCAGTGTGTGTTTTCTTAAAAAATGTCAGTCGCCTTCTAAAATACAAACACGTATTTTTTAAATTGTTATACATAGTGATGGTGCCTTTTATAAACAAATTGGAAGCAAAATAAGGCAGGGACTGACTGCAGCACAGCATTCCTGAAACACGCCTCGCGTCTGTGACTGTTCCCTCCCTTACAGAACCTTCCACCCCACAGCTACCCTCCACATGTACTTGTCTCAATCAACATGTCAAACAGATCACACAAAAAGACATCATGCTTTCCTATGTGGTTTCTGAAATTCCTCTTTCCATTCTAACATTCCTAAAAGAATAACCACATCACCAAAAGGCTCAGGGACTCAGCGGTGTGCACGGTCATTTCAAACTTAACAGCACTGTAAGACACGTAAGACTGGAGAGCAAAAAAACCAAAATCTTTTTAAAATAAATAAATATTTTAATAAATAAATAAATAAATAAATAAATATTTAATAAATAAATAAAGTATAACCATTAACCAGGTATTTTCTTAGATAAAATTCTTGAAATGTAGATTTCATTTCTATAGCGTCTCCTTTAAACAAATACTTCATTAACATTTCAAAGTAGATTTGTGCCTTTAACATCACTAAAGAAAATTACCAGCCTGAGTAAAAGTGGAGGAAAAAACTTAATTCTCAGCCACTATTGATGGAAGAATAAATTAATAAAACACTTCTGGAAAACATCAATGTCTTATCAAAATTTTAAGCACACACAGCAATTCTACTTCTGGGAACTTACCCTGTAGAAATATTTGCCAAGATATATATGCAAAGATCTTTCCTACGGGGTTGTATATGAAGAAAAGCAACATAAGCTGTGAAAATGGTCCTCTAAAGGGTGAGAGCTCCACTAGTCAGGGTATACCTATCAGTGGAACACAACATAATTGGGGAGAATGTAGATAACACACGGACATGGGAAGATTTCAAGTTGACACAGGGCCACGGTGGGGAAGGCTGCAGGCCTGGGAGCAGCAGGATTCTGCAGTGAGTGTGCCTGCATGTGCATGCTTCAGAAAGGGGGGTAGCCCTCCAGGACTGCGGGGGGTGGGGGGTGGGCACAACAGCATTCGTACCTCTCAGATTTGAACTTTGCTAACAGAGCATGCATCACCTTTTCTTCTGTGTAATTTAAAGAAAACTACTGGAGTTGTTCTTAGGTTTTAAAGAATAAAGAGAATAATGTTTCACCTACTGTCCCACAGCTCTGTACCTGGGTGGTCAGGGCTCAGGTCTTCCACTGCGATCTGAACCACATCCGCCAGGTCGTGCTCCGACATCATCCAGAGCGGGAGGGAGTGGCGGTACCCACACCGTCCACCTGACAGCAGGGCTGGGCTCCGTCACCTACAGACAGAAACCAAGAAACAGGAGAGGGAGATGAGCGACCAGGATACACAGAATGACACAAGCTGTTGATGCCAACCGTGAGCACATACATGAGATGACACAGATGTCTGTGGGGTCTTCCTATCCTGACCACTGACAGGTGGGCGTCCAGTGAGAAATGACAGACAGTTCACAAGCATCACTACTTCCTTCCTTAAACACTGAACCACCCCCACTTGTCCATTCCACCCTTCATGCCACCTCCAAAGCTACCCCGTAAAACAGGCTTGGAAAAGTGGCCTCGACCTCCTGCAGCAAGTCCTGGGGTCTCCTGCTCCCTGAGGAGTCCCAGTCTCCACTGTGCTCACCACACCCGAGGAACCCCAGACGCATCCCCTGATGCCTCCACAGCAGCCCAGCAACCCTCCTCCCAAACCCCCCCTCCAGGAGAACTGCCCCAGGCCACACCTCATGCTCCATTTCTGCTGTTCTACAGCCCATGTGGCCTGGCAGCTCCCCTACTTGGCCTTTCACATTCTTTCAGGGTCAGCCCTGGACCGCAGCACCACCCTAGCACTAAGGCCACTGCACTGCCCACCACTGTGCCGTCCAGGGCAGGGCTGTCCCCGAGCCCAGCACAGGGTCTAGAACACAGTCAGTGACTTTCTTCCAGCTCCTGTGACACTTTGATTAGGCATCAGGACCTTAGTTCCAAACTAAAAGTAAGGCTGCAGCATTTCGACAATGATCAATTGCGCCCAGACCTAAACAGTTGTCTTGGAGAATTTAGCAGTGTCACTATATTTTTATCATTACACCTTATTTTAATTATTTATAAATAAATTTTACAAAACAAATTATTTGTCTTTTCCAAACCATACGACACACTCCTAGAGCGGAAACCACACCTGTGGCCCTCCGCGGCCCACTCCTCCCTTGGGTGAGGCCTCCCTGGCCCTCAACACACGTCCACAGCAGGGGAAAGGGAATTCTCAGGTCATGTAGTTTAACTATGAGTCTCCTGACAACTCTGTGAATAGACAAGTTCCAACAAGCATAAAACTGAATTAGCAACTTCACAGTGTTCTCAAACCCTATCAACAGGGTGGTTCCCCCTTTCCTTTGTCTAGATTCAAATTCTACAGTCACACAGTAGCAGCTCCAGAACTCCAGAATTTAGAGAAGTTGGAGCGAAGTGCTGTCTTAAATCTTCCTTTATCCAGACAATATTTTTACATAAACATATGATAGAGCCTATGATCAATACAACAGTACAGATGCTTTTATTCCCACTTCTTGATATGAGATTAGATTGAGAAAAAAAATTAATTGTCCTTAACAAAGAAGAGACCTGATGACAAATAATTGACAGAGAAAAGAAGGGCCCCAGAGGGACTAAGACGGAAGCCCAGCTCTGGGAAGATGGCAGTGACAGACTATTAACCTCCCCATCCTTCCTGGGACGGCAAAACCAAGTCCAGGAGATCTCTCACCAACCCCCAAACCCAGCAAATGGGGACAAACCACTGAGGGGAACCCTCCGGCACAGGAACAGCAGGGCACACAGGCAGGGTGGGCAGCACCAGGGGTGTCTGTACTCGTGTCCAGAAGGCCTAGAACTCTCTGGACGCCAAGGATTCTCAAAACCAACCATTAAAGCTCCTGCTAGGCCAAATACTTGGAAAAGAAATGACTGAGAACAGCAGACAATACATAACACCAGGCACGGAAACTAAGAACAAAGGAAAATAAAAGCTAATTATGGCTCAGCGCCTGTGGCTCAAGTGGCTAAGGCTCCAGCCACATACACCTAAGGTGGCGGGTTCGAATCCAGCCCGGGCCTGCCAAACAACAATGATGGCTGCAACCAAAAAGATTGCTGGGCGTTGTGGCGGGCGCCTGTGGTCCCAGCTACTTGGGAGGCGGAGGCAGGAGACTCGCTTGAGCCCAGGAGTTGGAGATTGCTGTGAGCTGTGATGCCATGGTACTCTACCCAGGAGGACAGCTTGAGGCTCTGTCTCCAAAAAAAAATAATAATAATAATTAAAGGTGGGAGAGACAAGAACCAGCAGAGCTCAGAAAATAAGCTGCTGCATTTTTTAAGACTTCGTAAAACACACACAAGACAGAATAGTGACATCAGGAAAACCGTCTGAATCAAGCCTCTTTTCTAAGTATCCAAGAAAAACAATTTCACATACAAATGAGCAATAGAGACTATTGAGGTCAAATCTTAAGGAAACATAACATATTTTAAAAGAGAATAAGAAGCCAGGCACGGTGGCTCACGCCCGCCATCTGTAATCCCAGTGACTCAGGAAGTCCTCAGGCAGAGGGATCACTCAAGCCCAGGAGTCGGAGACAAGCCTGAGAAATACAGGAAGGCCCCACCTCTAAAGAAATGAAAATATATATGTATATATATTAGCCACACACTGTGAGTCATAGTCTCAGCCACCTAGGAGGCCAAGGTGGATCCCTCGAGCCCAGCAGTCTGGGGCTGCTGTGAGCTGTGGCTGTGCTGCGGCACTCGTGCCTGGGTGACAGACTAGCTCCTGTCTCTGAAAACCAGAGACTAAGGAACAAGATGACATCACTACGAATGATGCAAGCATGCTAGAAAAACAAGTCCCCCCAAAAGAGGAAAACTGTAGACTGATGTTTCAAAACAAGTTGAAATACATTAAAGATGTGACATCATTAATCATAAACCAGCATTAGAAAAACTCAGAAATAGATGCCACAACTCATGAAATACTGGAAATAAAAGGAAAAATAATTTCAGAAATGCAGGCTCAACTTCAGGAACCTTAGAGCAAGTAAACACAACAGACAGTATCTTCAGAAAAACAAAATGAAAAAATGTTAAGAATTTAAAAACAATGAAAAGATGAAAAGTTCAAGAAAAATACACTTTAAAAAAATGATGAGATAAGTGAACGCGGAGGTGTGAACTCTGGGGAAAGCCACCTTCGGGAGCATGGGACGGAGCTGGCACAAGCTGCACTGGCCACCGCCGCAGAGCCCACCAGGCCTAACGCGTGTGACAGGCCCTCTCAGCACGGCCTCCCTGGTGGGCAGTTTGGAGATCAAAGCCACATGTCATGAACTCAGTCTTCTTTTTTCCAAATTAAGAGCCAAAACAAAGGATTATGAAGGGGATAAGCCAGACTTCGTCAGGAAAGCAGAAGTCCTCAGATAATACCACCCACCCAACCTCTGCCTTGGTGGATTTAAAACATTTTAGGGTCACAGACTGATTTCAGAGCCTTAAAAAAAAAAAAGCCCATAGACCCTTATCCGGGAAAACGCACAGACAGCTCCAGAAGCACCACTGATACCAAAGACCATTGGCTGCCTATCCAGGCTCTGTCCTCCCCAGCCACAGGGCAAGTGGCCCACCAGCCTCTCACAAAGCAGCTAGGAGACAGCGCCAAAGTGGTGTATGGCAGCTTCGAGAACCTCCTGGAGAGGCAAGCTGCATGCCCTCCCACTGGAGGACAGGGGCAGGGGCCAAGGAAGCCCTGCCAGGAAGGGGTCCCAGCCCCCCGCCCACAGAACTGCCACACTGGTCCAGGCTACCAGCCTCTGTCCAACCTCCTCACAGGAAAGGAAAATAACCAGACACCTGGTTTAAAACGACATTCTGGAGTGTGTCGCACACGGCCAGCCTGAACCTAAGGATCAGGTGGCATCTGCCGGCTCCAGGCGGAACACCTGCCTCTTACAAGGGCTGATGGAAACCATTCCTGAATGCTCAATTCAAGTGTTTTCCTAGTTCCTCAGAGCTAAGAGTGGCTTAAGTAAATGCTCCAAACTCACCACAAAATCCCAAATCCCAACCTCATCCAAATCAGGACACCACACATTATCCAAGTTGTTTACTCAAAAATCACTCTGTTGCCAGGGTAAAGAGTCATTTAAAATTCTGCTGAAAGTAAAGGTCTCAATAGAAAAAAATCAGGGCAACCAGCCCAAGAAAACTGGAACAGAGAGATGCATGCGGTTGCTATTCTGGCAAATTAAATTTGCCATTTCTCAGAAGTCCTGGGGATGGTCCAGTCTTAATATAATAAACAGCTGGAATGAGACTAATATTCAATAAAGTCTCTTCCTGCAACTGCCACTAAAACTCAAAGTTCCACCACGTGTTATGACGGGGGCCTCTTCCAGGGCACAAAGGAAGAAAAGCACCTACCGACCACAGTGGTGACCTGATTGCTCACCAGCAAGGCGGACACTGGTCCACGCACAGCCACACCGCCAGCTGAGATCACGGAGCGGTGATCACGCAGCTGCACTCCAGCCTCAAAGACCCCAAAGAGCCTATGGCCGTAAGGATTGTCCCTATTAACAGTTATCACATTTGAAATTCTAACAGAAAATGTTCGAATGTTTATTAATTCATTTTAAAATTACACACATCAAACCATGACATATTAACATCCTGAGTCTTTTTCATGCTGCTAACAGAAGCCCGCAGACAGGTAATTCATGAAGAAACACATCTACAGTTCAGAAGGCTGAGGCGTCCAGGAAGCAGGACCCCGTCTGGTGGGGCCTTCTTGCTGCTGGTCCATGAGATGCCCGGCTGGCTCTGTCACAGACCTGCTCTCATGATGACTGACCACTCCCGCGATGACCCCATAATCCATTAATCTACAGGTGGGTTAACCCATTCAAGAGGGCACGTTCATGACTCAATCACCTAGGAAAGGTCACTCACCTTAAGCTGTTCCACTGGGGATTAAGTTTCAATGTGAGTTTCAAAAAGGACAAACATTCAAACCACAGCACATGTATTTTTTATAAAAAATAACGATAGTTTCCAGAATAACAACAACGAATCTTGAGTGAGAAGAGGAACATTATTTTACATTTTTATCAAATTTCTGACATCAGGCTTAATGAAAATGGCTGGCCAGGATGGTCTGCTTCCAGACAGCTGTGCTGACCCTGCTGGGTGCACAGAGTGACGCTCAGCCTCCCACGGTGCAGGCAGAAACAGGGAGGAGGGT